TCAATGATTATCCTAATTATATTTTAGATTTTTTATATTTAAAATGAGATGTTTATCTTGTATTTGATTATGTTTATCTGCAGTTAGTTACACGACTTCAGATATGGAGCTTTAATAAGTTGTACTTACGCATAATCTACTTGTAATATTGAGTTTTAAATAATACGCATTAATAAATAGTACTTTACGTATAAAAAATGGTTTTTAAGAGTTTTTGTTAAATGCTTTATAATATAGTATATATAAAATATCAAATAGTTTTGTAATTTTAATAATATTTTTAAAAAGTTTTAAAATCTTTCATTTCACATTTAAATAAAAAATTTAGAAGAAAACTTATCATTATTTTTATTTATCTATTAAAACTTTTCGAACACACAAAGTCTTTTTCCTTTTTTTTTTTCGTTAAAAGAAGGTTTTTAAAACACAACACGCTTATTAAAAGAGAAATTATCCAAAATAACTATTTTATACATTGTACATTAATAAATTGACAACTTTTCAAAGGTTCTTTTTTTTCTTCATAAAATGACCATAAAAATTGTTCTGAGAGGGCAATTTTGACTATTTTGAAGGTCATTTTGTGAAAAATCTTTAAAAAATGGTTATTTTGTTAGTATATCAGGTTTAAAATGATATTTTGGGTAATTTTGTTTTTTAAAATGAGAACACGCGAAAGGGAAGGAAATGCAAAATTGAAAAAACCAAAAGGGTCTAAATTGTATAAACACCAGATTCTTGTACCACTAATTCCTCTACCTTTGTCTGAAACCGGCTATACCCGGTAACCAACATTCTTTGAATAGATTTTTATCGAGCCGTTGTGACAAAACGGGAACAAGTGAACCGGCTTGTCCGGTTAAAGTCTTCTTGATTCTTTCGGTCACTCTTACTCGCCTCTTTCTGCTGTCTTTCTTTCACTTCACCGATCACACAGATCGTTTCTATCTTCTCGCTTTAGGTATGTTCTTTGTCAGATCTGTTTTTTCAATTATTTCTCTATTTTTTAGTTTAGTTCCACTTCAATTTCAACAATTTTTGCTTAATTACTGTGTTAATTACTTCGAAGTTGGTGAATTTCTCCGTTTTTTGTTTGATTTTTTGATGATTTGATTGCTGTTTTGTGTTGTTTTGATGTTTGTATTTGATTTTTTGGATTTGTGAACTTTGATGTTTGTATTTGGTTTTCTTAGTGATTTGAATTAGGGTTTCTCTAGTTGTTTTGTGTAATTTGTTTTTTTATGAGAGGTTGATATTCTTCTTGTTATCTTTTAGCTCGTTGACTTATGCTTATTCCTTCTTCTAGTTGCTGGCGAATAACATGATAGAATGCTTCAAGAACATTGTGAACTTTCCTGGAAAACAGTTATGATTGTATTTGTCCATTGTCATTGTTGCAAGTTGTTGATGCATTTGCTTTTGGTTCATGAGATTCAGTAGTATTTTAGAGTTTTGACTAGTGGTTGTGATTTTCATGGAAACAAGTAGTCAAACATTTGTGTTCTAATCTTTGTTTAAAATTTTCTGAGGCTCTGTAGATATGAAGGGTGCCAAGGGTAAAGGGGCAGCAAAGAGGGACAGCTTGAAGCCTGTTGATGACAAGTTAAGATCAATGCTAGTTTCTTGTTTTTTGTTATTGTTATAGATTAAATGACATATGAAAGTGAATGGGTTTCTTCTATGGAAGGATTGAAGTCCTTTTGCCATTTTGTGGAATGGGAAGGTCATAGTTTATGTTTTTCAAAATTAAGCTTAGTATCTCAATCTGGTGTATTTTTAGAGTAAGACTGTTGAGCATTGTTGATATTGATCTTAACTAGTAAAGATTCTTCAAATCTGAAATTGAGTTTCTCTGGGCACTTTTCTAGTTGCCTATTCTGTTGCACTGGCAAGTGTGCTACGTGCAGGTGTCATAGGATCGAACGCAGTAGCACAAATGCACTTGGTTGAAAGGGAAATTGGGAGCATAAGAATTGATTTTCTTTTATAGCATCTTTTTGTTTCGAGGATACTCATTATTGAAGTAGAGGGTAGAACTTGGTTTGGTAGCTGTACATGTACTGATGAGTAACTTATTTTTTTTATCCTTCAGAAAGGTAGGGAAGAGGAAGGCACCTGCTAAGGCTGTTAGCAAAAGCAAGGCTAAAGCCGGGAAAGCAGTGAAAGATCCTAACAAGCCAAAGAGACCTCCCAGTGCTTTCTTTGTCTTTCTGTACGTGTGATCATAAAATGACATTTGTTGGTGTTGTAAATGGACTTATAATATCTTGCTGATGACGGGATCATCTTATTGTTACAGTGAGGAGTTTAGGAAGACATTCAAGAAAGAAAATCCCACTATTAAAGCTGTTTCAGCTGTAAGTATTACATGTTCTGCGTTTTTTGGATAAAACTACACAAACTGTGTTATGAGGCTGTCTTTTGGTTTATTTATTCCTATTTGTCCATTTTATGCATTTGCTTGCTCATATAGGTCGGGAAAGCCGGCGGAGAGAAGTGGAAATCCTTGAGTGCAGCTGTAAGTAAGCTGAGCTTGTCATAATCTGGCTTCTGTGTGGTTTATTTATAGAGTGCATCATCGGTGCTGTATTTCTCTTATTCCATCATGTAGATGTGTAGTCCCCCTATCAAATTTTCTTTTCCTCATACCAGTGTGTGTCCTATTGCATTAGTGCTGGTAAGATTGAGTTGTGGAAACAACGAATTTCCCGACCCTAAGGCGACTGGTCGATGCATCACTGTAGACCAGTGTGGGTTGTGGGTCCACTACCTTATCTGTGGTGTACATTTGGCCCCCTTTATTGCTTTTGTTTTGCAAGCCAGGGGTCTTCACGGAAACAACCTCTTTCTACCCTCTGGGGTAGAGGCAATACATCCTACCCCTGACCCTAGCTATTGTGGGATATACATGGTTGGTTTGGTTTGGTTTTAGTTGGGCCCCTTTTGTTTTGTGCACAAGCTCTTGACGTTGTAGCTTCTAGGTTTAAATTGGATTACACAGCTTGCAGTTATCACCTTACAATTGGTTATTAAATCATCATCTAAAAGAAACATGATTGATTTTTTTTCTGTAGTTCTTTTTGTGAAGACAAGTCTAAACAAAGAAAATAAGCACCCGCATAGTAATAAGAATTGAACCCCATAACCATCAGGTTCCAGACTAGGTCAGATACTAATTAGTCCAAAAGCCACTAAAGAGACGCATAACAGATCTTAGAAACAGCCATTAGGTAACTGTGAAGGTTGTCATTGAAGTGTAATGGACCCTTATTGGAGCTTAGCTATTCTATCTACTCATGGCAGGAAAAGGCACCGTATGAAGCCAAAGCTGCAAAAAGGAAGACTGATTATGAGAAACTAATGAACGCATACAACAAAAAACAGGTAACCTTTGTACATTTTTCATTTCACTGACGGAATGACCTATGTACTTATAAATATGTATGTATACTAAACAGGAGAGCATGGCTGACGATGATGAAGAATCCGAAAAATCTAAGTCTGAAGTAGACGAGGAGAGCGGACAGGTATTATTTTTCCCATTACATATGTTCTTTCTTTTACATCTAGTTTCAAGAAAGTTAATTAAGAGGGTTGGGTGGTTTAGAATTGAGAAATCCTTAATGTACTTTGCATATGTGGGCCAATTGGTAAATTTAACCATGAGTTAGTGCACTTAACTCAACTTGCTGATATCACAGCAAAAAGAAAAAAAGAATCAACTTTTATAACCATAATTTTTGGCATTTGTGTCGCGCTACGTTTGGCAACTTGCTGATAAACATCTCACATTTGGTAAAAACTAGCTGATAAGTACAATGTAAAATGATGATGCGTTGAAAAATTACTCAATTACAACACAAGGGACATAATTGGAAAAAAAGTGAACATCCTGAGCTTATTGAAAAAGTTTGCTTATGGTTGTGAAACATGCCTTGATACCCGGGGAACCCTGGAAGCACCGTATTTGAAAATATGGTACACTTAAACAACCCCTAAAAACACTGTACTTGAAAATAGTGAACAATTTGTACCCATATTTTTCAAAACTTGTCATTTTACTGTTATTTTTCAATGTTGGATTATAGTGCTGAAAATAAGTTCCGTGGGAATGCCCGAGCATTGTACAATGAGTTTGTTCATGGACATATGTTTGTGTATCATTACAGGATGGTGGCGATGATGAAGAAGATGACGATGAAGACGATGATGAGGATGATGAATGAAATGAAGGGCCGAAACCTGTGTGATTCAGACCACATATTTGCCGAAAACTTGCATGTTCATATTCATAGCTTACTTGATTATGGTCTTGCCTGTTTACTTAAGTTGTTGCGGCCATAGCTTAGATTTGACCTTTCTTATGTACCCTACCCCTATGATTTCATTTAGTTTGAATTGAATGTTGATTTTACCTTTTGGACTGAATGTCATTTCAAACCCATTCTACTGTCACCTACTACAGTTAACCAATCATCATCATACATTCTGCACATTACAATGCTTAAAAATGGTGTACTTTTACTTGTTTGTTCTTTTATTTATCTGAGATTTACTGGGTCTGTTTGATCTAGTTTGGTTTTAACTTGACTCGTTAATTGGTGTCGATGAATGGACCTTTTGTCGTTCATGAAGTTTTCTCGGTGTGGCAAAGGTTTGATATCGGAACAAGTTTCACCGTTCGAAGGTGAACGAACACCTTCACATTCTTTCTTTCTAGTAGAAGATGGTGAATGTTCCATTCTAATGTCCTATTTGGTTCATGGATTCCCGAAATTGGAATGATCAATTCATTTAACTAAGGAGTCGTTTACCAAATACTTAGCCGGTAAGTGTTTAATCGGTAAAATTTAACACTATTATTTACTTACCGGGTAAGATTTTTAGTCCACCAAAATGACATCGTATGCAAGAATTTACCCGGTAAGCGCTTACCGTGATAAGAGTCGTCGCCCTCACTTATCCCGTAGGACTCTTGGTCCTTGTCTCGCTCTTATCGGGTAAGATTCTTGGTTCTTATCATATTCATACGGTGAGGTAATGTGACTTGGTAAACATTTATTTGGTAAACGGGCCCTATATTTTAATTCCTTTATTTGGTTCATTTCTTGAAATGTATCACTGATAAATTCCTTTGAATTTCACGGTAGAGGGATTTTTGTCATTCCTTCAAGTCAACGGATTGAATTTGGATTTCTTGACAAATGCCACGGATTTTATAATTTGGTTTTAAAAAGACAAAAATAACATTTGGATCCAATTTAACCATCACCACCACTACCATGCCGTTAATGTCAGCTTTCTAAGCCGCCACCATCCACCCTCCCACACAAAAGGCACCATTACAACACTATCAAACCACTGCTGTCGTCGTTACAACTGCCATCCACCCACCTAACTCCCGATTCCCACAAACCGCATCCACATCAAACAAACATGTATATTATAATTCTTTTTAGAGATTTTATTACTATTCCCACCAATCAAACACATGATCAAATTATATTCCAATTTCTTCAAAGTCAAATCAAAAGATGGAATTCAGTTCCACCAAATTTCATTATACGAACCAAATACCCCCTAACAGATTATTGTTTTTTATCAGGTAAAGGGTGCGTTAAAGTTTACCCAGCAAGCAAGAAAAGTCCTTGTTTCTTTATAGATATTGTTCTGGTTTGGTTAGTTGAATACACGTTTTTTTAACCATGTGTCATTCTTTTCTTTGCTCTAATTTGATGACATCTATTCCTCAAGAGTATGATGGTTATGATTAGAGGTATATAACGATCGGGTCATATCCTATTCTAAAAAGACGAGTTTTTCCTAATAGAAAAAAATGAGCCAAAAAAGTCCGGTTAGTCTGGCCAAAAATTTAGAACTAAATCCGAACGGGCAATCCTAACTGGTCCTTTTGGATTTAAAAAAAATAACAAATACATATATAAAATAATGAATTGTACAAGTATTTTAAAGAATACCTCAAATTTTCATTTAATTATAAACTAATTAATAGTAAGATAACAAAATTAGTTAAATTGGGACATTATAAATAATTATCTTTTTATAGCATCTTCGGTTTTTTCTTCTCGAATATTATTCATATTTTTTATTTAATTTTTTTATCTCGTCTTGACCAAAGACCAGGTTTCAGGCTTTATTCAAGCTTTGTTTCAACCAGTTAAGGACCAAAATGAGCTTTTGCCTACGACGGTCCTTGCACAGGACCTTTTCTATCAGTTCCTTTAGGACCGGTCCTTGGTCTTTATCGGTCCAAAATCACTTAACATGTCCTTTCTGCATTTTTAGTTATGACATGTCTTTACTTTTATTTGGAAAAGACTTACAGGCTGTTTGGTTAGTCTTCTATTAAGCATTGTATTTATAAAGTTGTTTGTGTGTATTAATCTGTCTATATGGATTGAAAAGATTTTTTGTTTGGAAGAGCTTCATAGATGGAAGGAACGTGATTTTTAATTGGGAGATACATGTTTGGAAAACACTTGACTTTCTGTATAAAGCTTCTTCCCAGAAGCTTACTAAATAAGCCACTACCAAACAATTATGTACATTTCATAACATTGTACTATTTCAATTTATTTGTGCTTCATACTCACATAGATGTAGCCATACTGCTAGATGAACCGTAAAAACGAAGGCCAAGCTATACGTCACACGATCTAGACCACGCTAGCCGAGTTGGTCGTTGACCCCATTTACCCGACCTTGCTTTCTTTTGTTATACGTTGTGGAACCACGAGTTTAACAAACGCTTGGTCTAATTCTTGATTGGAGAGTTGTTGTTATCGATCATCTTTTGCACGGATTGCTCGAACTTGACCATTTCACTTTTTTTTTATCGAATGAATCCAACAAAAACATGTATTTTTAAGGCTTTGTAACTGGTAATTCCTAAGTTGGCCCATAACAATCTATTCAAAGAGTATCATGTAAAAGACAAATCAGGTATACAATGTCCCCTTAGGTGGTTAACTTAAGAGTCCAATCTAACTCCCAGACTATCACCGTCAAACTTGAAACCTTATCTGTTTGAACAAGTATATCACTCCAAAATCAGTACGACAAAAGAAGGTCCCATAGAATTATTGGTAGTTTAATACTTGGAATTGGGTCTTTGGTGGGTATAAATATCCATTATGGATCTATAACATTAACCAGAAACACGTTTAGGGAAAAGTCGAAAAAAACCTAATCGATTTTATTGTTTTAAATAATTAAGTTTTTGAACAGATAAGTGCTTAGACATTTTAAGACGTATACTCAATTGCTTACCCGGTAAGCGCTTACCGATAGAAGTCAACACTATGATTTATTTTGATGCACAAGATTTTAGTACATCAAAACATATCGAATGCAACAATTTACTGGGTAAGCGCTTACCTAGGTAAAAAATAACCCGCAATCTGTATAGCAATCTCACATTCATTATGTCCTTCATCGCTAACAACCACCTCACTTGAAATTGATATAATAGGAGGTCCTTTAACCATGGTGGTTATGAGTTATGACACACACAACGATGTCTTTAATAATGAATATAAAATGTAAGTAACAGATATTTTAAAAAATAAATTGTTATTTAAATATGAAAGTAAGACTAATATACATATTACAAGTTAGTTTATTCAAAAACATTAAAATTCATCATGTTTTTTGTAATTTTTTTATGGGGTTTGTATAAATTTGTATTATAAATTCGTTTTGATATATTAATCGGTTACCAACTTGTATAATTGTTCTGTTTGTCAAAGAGATAAACGATGAACTGTAAAAATAAAACATACTCTGTTCAATTCTTATTTTAAAAGATCAGTTTTATCATTTATGATTAAAAATATTTAATTTTTTTTTACAAATTCATTAAATATTTATTTTTTATTCATGAAATTATAATATACTCTTTTGTATAAAAAATATAATACCTTTCAAAATTAAGTTTACTAAAAGGAAAATTAACAAAAATGACTATTTTGTCCCTCATTTTTCACCTCCTAACCATTTATCTCATACTTTTATCATAATATCAATATCTTCGTAAGTGCCATAGCTGCAATTTGCATAGGGGTCATCTTCAAAGAATAATAATACTGAGTTCCTTTATAAACATCGATTTTGGGACACCTGGTGGCAGTTCCGTAACACTTCCAGATACCACTCATAATCTTTTTTAAATGCCCCCTCCGCAAGTTGTGACAAAACCGCTTGTGCATGTATGGAGACCGGGAGAGGAATGACTAAAAGATGAAAACTGTCGATTAAATGCACCCATATTATTGAATTTCATCCTCATATATATCAAAATCAAAACTTATTTTTTTACATTCTCAATACATGATTTGATCTGATTTTGAAATTAAATGAGATGTATGTAAATATCACCCTTTTAAAAATAGTAATCAAAGTTATAATAAAATAAGAAAATGTAAAAATTTATATTTTTTTATAGAGTAAATTACGTTTTTCGTCCTCATAGTTTGGCAAAAGTAGCGGATTTTGTTTCTATGGTTTTGAAGTTTTGATTTTTTTTGAAATATATAATATTTATATACGACAAATACAACAAATAAACTTACACCATCTTCACATTTGGTGAGGTTTGAACCTTTGACCACCTAAGAGGCTAAAGACTACGATACCACTAAGTTAAAGATTCTTTGGTGAAATCTTGATTTTCATATCTATGGTTTGCAATTCATTTTTATTTTTGTCCCTGAGATTAAAACACTACTTTTAAGTATGAATAACTAAAATCGAAATGAATTATAAACAATAAAAACGAAAAAAAAAAAAAATTTAATCATAAAAACAAAAAAGATAATGAATTATAAACCATATAGAGATAGAAAATCGTAATATCAAGATTATAAGGACGAAAGTAGAAATTTTATACAAACCACAGGGACTAAAACGTAATTTTTCCTATTTTATAATTTTTAAAAATGTAATAAACGTCAGCCACAACTACGATTTTTTTCACAACCAGATAAGGCTAGATAAGGCCTAGGCTTTCTCATCCGTCAGATGGATTCACACTCTTCATCCAACGGTCACCATTCCTTCACTTATCTCATCCCTTCCTACCCATCAAACCCTATACATCACCAACCCAAAATCCCACTCTCTCACACTTCCGATCACCACCATGGCATCCACCACCATCGCCGCCGCCGCCGCTGCATCCTCCTTCATCGGAACTCGTCTCCCGGAGCTACATTCCAACTCCGGCCGAGTTTCCGCCCGATTCGGATTCGGAAAGAAGAAAGCCGCCCCCAAAAAAGCACCCAAAACCGTTACATCCGATCGCCCGTTATGGTATCCCGGCGCAAAAGCACCGGAGTATCTAGATGGAAGTCTGGTCGGAGACTACGGATTCGATCCATTCGGTTTAGGTAAACCGGCGGAATATTTGCAGTTCGATTTGGATTCTTTGGACCAGAATTTGGCGAAGAATTTGGCGGGAGACGTGATCGGAACCCGGTTCGAGGCTGCGGATGTGAAATCGACGCCTTTCCAACCCTACAGCGAGGTGTTTGGACTTCAGAGGTTTAGGGAGTGCGAGCTGATCCATGGGCGGTGGGCGATGTTGGCTACACTCGGCGCTCTCACCGTCGAGTCCGTCACCGGCGTTACATGGCAAGATGCCGGAAAGGTACGTACGCATATGTACTTATCATGCATTTGACATTTTTAGAAATGAAATGGTCCACAGGGTATTATCGTCATTTAACATCATCTTCATAGGTATATATCTTACATTTGACCTTTTGTATAAAACGTACTAAATAAGCTAATTTTTATATTAAATCTATTACCAAATAGTCATGTATAGGTGGTTGAATAAGCCGAGGGTCCCGTTAAACTGCTAACAAACAAGTCACTATTTTTTGCTAAGAGAAAGTTGCACCAAAATAGAACCAACTTTCATCTGATTCTTATTTTGGGGAACCAACTTTCAAAATCGTCATTTAGGGGTCTCTATCAAACTTTTTGTTTATTTAAGGGTCTGGTTGATCTGTTGAACATGTAACAGGTAATTTATGGGTCTCTATCAAACTTTTGGTTTGATTTGCCAAATTTGATTTAAACTTTAACATTGATAAGGATTGGTTAGATATAAAAATCTTGAATATGATATTTAATATATTTTTTTATTGCATCAATTAATTTTTTTCTATTAAATTGATTTTTTTATTGCATTAGTAAAAAACAATTTTTATTGTGGTAATTTGGAATTTTTTTAAATCTTCAATTTGATATCTGAATTAAAAAAAAACGAGATTTGAAATGAAAAATAGATTTTATTGCATTAATTTTTGAAAAAAAATGAATTTTAGTTATTTTTTTATAATTATTTTGCAAATTGGTTCCCTAAGATAGGAATCAAGTGCAAGTTAGTTCCCCAAAATGACGATTTTGAAAGTTGGTTCCCCAAAATAAGAATCAGGTGAAAGTTGTTTGTATTTTGGTGCAATTTTTCCTTTTGCTAATTATAATTCCCATATCTATGCCAACACCAGTCATGCATATAAACAAAAAATTTCTAGTATATTTCACTCGAAAGTGGCGGCTAAAAAAATTCAAAACGTTATTTTTGGATTTCAGGTGGAACTGATTGATGGATCATCGTATCTTGGCCAACCACTCCCATTCTCCATCACCACTTTGATATGGATCGAGGTTTTGATCATCGGATACATTGAGTTCCAAAGAAATGCCGAACTCGACTCTGAAAAGAGGTTGTACCCCGGTGGTCCATTTGATCCACTGAACTTAGCCAGCGACCCCGAGAAGAGAGCCACCCTGCAATTGGCCGAGATCAAGCATGCCCGTCTTGCCATGGTGGCTTTCCTCGGGTTCGCTGTCCAAGCAGCAGCCACCGGAAAAGGACCCCTCAACAACTGGGTTACACATTTGAGCGATCCACTTCACACCACCATCCTCGACACCTTCGGCTTCTTTTCTTAAACCCTCGTTTTTGGTCATCTCCTTGATATATATCACCTCTCTCTATTTTTATCGTTACTTTTATCTTGTAAAGTTTGTAACATTTGACAAAACAAGCGAGACAATAAACTGCTTTTATTGTCATGATCAGGTGTGTAAACAATTCAAGTGTTTAACGAGTTACTCGAGCATAGTAATTCTTGAGTTTGAGTTGATTTTGAATACATAATATAGGTCCCAAACCAGTGTTCCACTTAGTTCGTTCAAAAACTCGATAACATATTTTGAGTTGAATTGAGGTATTTGAACTGTCGAGTTAAAAATGTTCATAAATCATACTGTTAAAAGAAGCATTAAGCTCGGGCTATGATTTTAGGTTAAGAACCTTGAGAATTAATCTATATGATTGGATCAATTTTATCTGGGCTACGATTTATGGTGAATTTTTTGTAAAAAGAACGAAAATAGCCACATTTTTTTATTCATAATAAGGAAGTTAGAGAAGGTAACAATGATATCATATATTTTAGCGTTTGGTGGGCTAAATGCATATTATATATACTAGAATGGTACTCGCGCAATACAGCGAGATACATCTCGATTTTAATGTTTCGTTTTATTTTTTTGTCTCGGTCTATGTTATAATACAGTTTTATATGGTTTTAAGAAAACGATAATTTTTTTATTTTTGAATAAAATATGAATATGAAGATATAATTTTGAAAATTATATATTGATATTAGTACCAAACTAACAATTTAAAATTTTTTGTTTTTTGTGTAATTTCTTTAATTCGTTTTTTCTTATTTTTGCTTTAATATAATTTTTTATAAAAATAATAATTAAGTATTTTGTTAGAACTAAATGATTATCCTAATTATATTTTAAATTTGAAATGAAATGTTTATCCTCTATTTGATTATGTTTATCTGTAGTTAGTTACATGAATTCAAACATGAAGCTTTAATCAATTGTACTTGCACACAATTTACTTGTAATCTTGAATTTTAAGTAATATGCATCAATAAACAATACTTCATGCATAAAAAAATGTATGTCAAATGCTTTATAATATAGTATAGATATTGTTAAATAAATCTCTACCTATTAATTTTTTCTCACACACGTCAGCATCAATATTTTATTTTATACATTCTCAATGCATGATTTGACCCGATTTTAACATTAAATGGTTGCACATAACATTACCTTTTTAGAGCATCTACAATGTGCTTTTTCTTAGCCTTTTCGGGGATTTTTCAACATAGCGAGAGGTTTTTGGTTAGAGATCATAATTGCACGACCTGCTTTTTCCGAGGTTTTCATATTTAATAAGTTTTAACTTTATAAAATTGTACAAAAGTTTTGTATTTAATCAATTTTATTTATAAAAATAATAATATTACTTTTATTAATGACTTACTAGAAAACAAGTGTTTTTAACATATTTTAAAACATTATTGTATAGAAATCTTATGAAATCCCGTGAAAGCCTAACCACCTCCGTGGGATTTCAAGATCCTATACTTGAGGGATTTCAGATAAATCCTATGATTTTAAATCCAAGCAATCTTACAAACCAAACATGGGATTTGAATGAATTTGAATCCAAATCCTCCCAAATCTATTCAATTCCTGCAAACCAAACGAGACCTTAGAGTTTTCGAAATGCTAATCGTTATCATATAGAGAAAAAGTATATTCATGTATACAGAGAAGGATACAATTTGAATAGCATTTTGAATCGCAACATTTTGACACAATATGGATTTATTGCGATTAGTATATGCTAGTATCGCTAATATTTTATTACAGTAATATGCTAGTTTGAAGACCTCGTTAAAGAAACTTCAGATACGAACCCTCTAATCAGTAAAAACCATAAATCACTATTGATGTTACTGTTATTTTTGTATAACAATCATCTGTTATTGTTATTAGTTAGAATGATTCAACGAAGATTTCACCACTCAACTGAGACCATCCATAGATACTTTCATCAAGTACTGCAAGCAATGATGGAATTTGCTGGAGAAGTCGTATGACCAATGTCCAACGAGAAGACCTCCAATATGTCAGAACGACAAAGAAATCTTAGAAGAATATTTCCGGTATGTTTTCGTTTATATAATTTGCAAAATCAAAACATAGTTAAAAAGTTTCTTATAGTTTACATTTGTTGCATGCATCGTTAAACGCATAACAAAGCTTAAGTTTATAAAACTAAGGGGTCGTTTACCAAGCACTTACCGGGTAAGAGCTTACCAAGTAACATTACCTCACCGGATGAATATAGTAAGGACCAAGAATCTTACCCGGTAAGAGCGAGACAAGTACCAATAGTCTTACCCAGTAAGTGAGGGCGGCGACTTTTACCACGGTAAGCGCTTACCGGGTACATTGTTGTATACAATGTCGTTTTGGTGGACTAAAATCTTACTCAATAAATACATAATAATGTTAAATTTTACCGGTAAACACTTACCGGATAAATGTTTGATAAACGATTCCTAACTTATATATCTTGAATCGAATATCATCCACCAATAAAATATATTTTGAAAATTAATTTTTTTTAAAGGAGACAGCCGCCGAAGGCTGGCTGATACAACCAAAAAAAAAAAAAAAACTGCAAATTACGTTTTTAGTCCCTAAGGTTTGTTAAAATTTGTGGATTTTATTCGGAAACCCGTGTTGGAGCTTCGTTTGTGTTCAGCAACACAAATATTTCTTATTATTCTTTTTCTGTCCAGTTTTGTTATTTTAACTTTTGACGTCGTTTTGGGCTCAAACGTGACAGGAATTAACAAAAACTCGAAAATTTCAAAGTTGTATGGTCGTTAGGGCTGTAAACGAATTGAACGAACATGAATAGAGACTTGTTCACAGAGGTGGATCCAGCCTTTAGGGTGCGTTTGGTGCACAGACAGGACATGACAGGACAGGGTAGGACAGGACATGACAACTGTTCAACGTTTGGTAAGACATGACAGGACATGACATAACTGGTTAAAATGACCAATTTACCCCTAGTGAGCAATTAGAAACAGCAATCAGAAACAGCAAACATGAATCAAAAACAGCAAACATGAATAAAAACAGCAAACAAAATGCAGTAGCAAACATGAATCAAAAACAACAAACATGAATCAAAAACAGCAAACATGAATCAAAAACAACAAACATGAATAAAAAACAGCAAACATGAATCAAAAACAACAAACATGAATCAAAAACAGTAGCAAACAAAATCAGAAACATAATTAGGTGCTGTCAAGTTCTTCTAAATCAGTAGAAACATGAATCAAAACCCAACAAAGAAACATGAATCAGGTGCTGTTTTAGCAGATATGAACAACTACAAGATGCATCAGATTTTAGGTAAAGATGAATTGAGGTTAAACCCAGCTCACGAATTCAAGAAAACAGCGAATACAATCATCAATTAGTTGAAATTGCAAGAAACCAGATCTTGAATCAAGAAAATCTTGGGCACTTGTTGAAATCAAGAACGAAAGCAATAAACCTCTGCTAATTCGAAGAAGCGATAAACCTCTGAAATTACAAGCAGATGGTTTTGAATCAAGAAAATCTAGGTTTTCAGCACAAAAAGGAAATCTCTCGGATGAGGTACCGTCGATTGGAACAGTCGAGAAGAGAAGAGAAGCGTACCGTCGATTGGAACAGTCGAGAAGAGAAGCAACGCCGATTGGAACTCGCTGTCGATGGTCGCCGTCGATGAACGCCGTCGATGGTCGCCGTCGATGGAGTTGATGAAGCATGCGATGGAGGCGGATGAAAAAGGGGATGGAACTGGAAGCGATGTGATGAGCCAGGTAGGGGAAGAAGGGTAACGTGGGAAAAAATTTGAGTTCCACTTAGTTCTAGGGGGGTATGGTGGAACACGCGTGTCCTATGCTTGTCCAACTTAGTTCCACATCTAGCCACACCAAACGTAGGACAAATGTGTTCTGTCCTGTTCTGTCCCACCCTGTCCAGCGTACCAAACGCACCCTTAAGCACTAGGGGGAAAAGGCCACCGGTCAAAAACCAAAAACCTTTGTTGACTAGATTAAATTTTCTATTTTCACTCTTGCCTCACATGGTTTCCCCATGGTCCCAAATGGTCATATGCTTCCCTCCCCCAAGTCCAATCCAACGTGCCCCCACCCCATTAATTTCCTGGATCCGCCACTACTTGTTCATGTTCGTTTGTTTAACTTAACCGAACAAATGAATTAACAGGAACGGTAAACGAACGAAATTTTTTGTGTTCGTGTTTGTTCGTTCAGAAATCAGGTGTGTTCATGTTCGTTTATGTTCGTTCGTTAACATGCTAAACGAACATAAACGAACGGGCTAAACAAACATAAATAAATATTATTTGAATTCAAAGTAAATAAATAAAAGATTATATATTAAATTTAGGGCAAAATGCACAAAATAGCAATCTACTTTCATAAATTTTTTTATTATAGCATTGTACTTTCAGTTTTTCTTATTATAGCAATGTACTTTCAAACTATTTTTTATTAGGACATTGTACTTTAAAAATTTACCCATTATAGCATTGGGTAACCTTTTGATTTAAATTTACCCATTATACTTTCAAAATTATTTTATTATAGTCATGTGACTTTCTTACTACATTATTGTACTATAGTGATGTGGCTTTCTTACTACATTATTGTACTTTCAAAATTATTTTATTATAACATCTACTAGTTCTTATTAAACACTGTATTTTTAATTTTAATATTTAGATATTTTACATGTTATTTAATAAATGTATTAACTGAATTAAAAAAAATTATGAATTATTAATTAATATACCAATATCAATAAAACTAGTGGAACACAACTTATCTCGTTAATATTTTTAAAAAAATATATGTTTTAAAAAAAAGGAAAATAAGAATTGTTTTTTTTTACCAAAAAATATTATCTTTTAAAAAAATATTATATTTGTTCAAAAACTTTTTACTTGACGTATAAATATATTAAATTAATTAGATTTTTTTGAATTATTTATTAATATAACAATATTAAAAAATTGTAGAGAACAATTTATTTCGTTAATATTTTAAAGAGAATTTTAAAATATATGTATTTATTTGAACAACATAAAATAGGAAAAGTTACTTTTTTTACAAACAAAATATATCTCGTAAATAATGTTTCATATTTATTTAATAAATATTTTACTCTAAGAATATTTAATTTGAATGTAACTTAATAAGAAAAAATAAAAAAAAATTAAATGTTTTTTAGATAGTAGCAATGAAAAATGAAAATCACTAATAATAATTTGAAATAAGTTTTTATTTTAATTTTAGTTAAGTCATTAAAATGATGTGTCATCCACATCACCTCATTAAAACCACACAAGCAAAAAAATCAAAGGGTTAATCGGTTTAAAAGGTAACAGGTTACCCATTGCTATTATGGGTAGATTTATTAAAGTACAATGTCTTAATAAAAAATAATTTGAAAGTATATTGCTGTAATAAAGAAAAACAAAAGTAGAATGCTATAATAAGAAATTTTATGAAAATATGTTGCTATTTCATGCATTTAACCCTTAAATTTAATATATAAATGAAAATAAATGAATGAATATAAACAAATGTAAACGAACAGTAAATGAACAAACGTTCACGAACATAAATGAATGAACAAGACTTTTGTTCATGTTCGTTCGTTTAACTAAACGAACAAAAAAGTTGTTCATGTTCGTTCATTTATTAAATAAACGAACTTCTCGCCGAACTGTTCACAAACAGTTTGCTGAAAGTTCGGTTCGTTTGGCCGTTTGTTGTCTTTCCGGATCATTTTGAATCGCTTGAATCAGGGCTTCGATGAGTGAGATATGATCGAAAAATCCATTTTATGTTCTTTTTCGCTCCAAAGTATTCCATTAAAAGTACCTGAATGTGTTCGGTTTTACCATTTTAATGCATTAAAGAGGGATGATTGACATGAAAATAAAATTACGTTTAGCTACGGGTCATTACTCTTTTTTAATAAAGGGGCAATAGGTGAGGTGCGGTGCGTTAGATGAGACTCTTATTCATGTAATTGTGCCTGTTGACCGACAAGTTTGTTATATAGATAGAGGAAGAGATGAATGTTACCAAAACGTTTTAACGATTTGTGATTCATTAAAAAATTTCATTTAGAACTTTTGTCAACGTTAATTTTCATTCAATGCGGATTGGGGATAAAATTGTAATTTTGTCATTCATAACTGTTTCCAAACAATCATTTTCTATTTGACACTTAAATTATACAGTGTCTCTTAACCATTCTGGCTACATAATCATTCTGTACCAAATAGTTTTGAAGCTGCCGAAGAGCCCCTAATACACGATTCTCGTTTTTATAAGCTTTTTTTGCCTATATATGTTCGGTTGTGGTCAGAATCGATCATCGTCAACGTATTTTGAATGAATGAGGAGGCCTATAAACTGAAATGTAAAATGTATTAAACATCGTTTTTTTATCGTTTAAAACACAAATAAGCAAACAAATATAGTGATTATTTTATATAAATTTAGCAACATTTCATATTGCTAAACTTATTTTTATTTATCATTTGTTAAACAAGAGAATGACCGTGTAAAAAACGTAAGAAGTGATCTAGACCTTAAGTATAGAACAAGACCCGTCTTATTGGAAACCTGGTGTACCCGCCCCAACAGGGAAGGGGATTCCCCACAAAACCGGGATTCGGGGATGGGGACGAGGAACGTGTTCCCTGCCCCACCTCATTGAAAGTCGAAAGCGTTTGATCAAACAATTACGAATGTGATGTGATTTTGTTCATATATAAATATTTGATACTCTATAAAAGCAAAATATGAAAATATGTGAGTTTTAAACATGGATCATTATTGATCGAGTGTGGTGTTTAACAAATTTGATTTAAAATATCTTATATTAACGGGGAAAATGATCTCCAATTCTCATACTTGGACCCTTGATCACCTTCAATCCCAAACCCACCATTAATCATGTGGTGTTTGACGATGACAATGCATCTAATGGTAGAGATTATTTCTTATACTTCTCACCTTAACACTTATTTTCACCGAAATTCAACCCTTGTTAAACATTTATATATATAAATCATATGCATGCACGATGCAACTACATATGATTTCAACAATTTTCATTACAAAACAATGGGTTTCACCAACGGGAAAATCTATCGGTAATCCTCAAAAAAACCATCACCGGCAGATCTCATTGCCGGAGAAATTTTGGTCAGCAATCGTGATTACCAACGGATTGACAATTACTGATGAGAAAATCCGCCTGTGATTCACCGGAAGTTACCGGCAGAAAAATCGGTTGGTGAAACCTGTGTATTTTGTAGTGTTTTATTTAACGTTGAAACCAAACATAAACCTTACATGAATCAAATATGAAATATTGACGTGTATTCTGTGAAAGGTGTAATTAAAATGATCAAACGTTCAAATCAAAACAACACTTGCTTGAATCAAAATATCAAATACAACATAACATCATTCTCGTATTTTTACAAATAGGCCTAGAAAAATAGTACGTTCCGTTTGGTTTATTTCGATGATACGAATAAAAATTACGATAATTATGGAAGGCATCGATCTACTGAGGGTTTGGAGGACGGCTGTTGGCAGCCGAGACTCTCGAACCCCACTCGAGTAATTCTTTGCTTGTGTCGTCCTTATGAGCCATCACTTCAATGAAGCACAAGCAATCCTTCTTCGCTCCCATTGCAGTCTCTATCGCTTCGATCAACTCTTCTTCATAAAACACCTACATATTTAATCGAGTTTTTATGATGAAGTGTTAGGATATGTGGAACCCTTTTGATTCTACATCTAAATAACCCTTAGGGAATGTTTGGCAATTGCTGAATGGTTTGATATAGAATGATTAAGTGGTCAGAATGATTAAGAGACTCTCATGTATTATACAAAATGAAATATAATTATTTGGTAATTATTTACAATGATTAAGAGACTCTCATGTATTATACAGAATGATTAAGAGACTACCATTAAGGGGCAGACTTTTTTTACCAAACAAAGTTCACCTCTTAACGATTGAGAGACTGCCTTTTAATGGAACTATTAAGAGGTAAACAAACAACCCCTCGGAGAGTGGAGGTTCCTAAATATACTGAGGTTTTGATGATCTGCATAACACGCCCCTTCATACGAAGGCAAAAGTGCCCGACTCCCTAGACATACCACTTGGAACCTCTTTAAATCTTTCTAAAAAAGGATTGGAAGTTCCTACATATAATATTTATATACGATAAATACTCACGTAAACTACTAGAAGGATGAGTTGTACCAGTAACCCCGATTCATATGAGCAATGCCAATGACCCGTTGGTGTATATATATAGATTTGATGGTTTATGTTTGGTCGATGTGGAACTCCAACAAGAATAATTGTTTCTAACGCTAAAATAGCAAGTGTTAAAATGAAAGTTGCTCACCTTTGTCGTCCAACACTTTCCCTCGCCGTTGTGGATTGCATCAACTAATGCAGTGTAGTTCCAATTCTTGATCACATTGTAAGGCCCGTCATGGATCTCTACTTCGATGGTGTAACCACCATTGTTTATCAGGAAGATGATGTTATTCTGGCCACATCGCAGCATTGTAGACACATCTTGGGCCGTAACCTGTTTGAGGTTCAAATAGGTTCAACATACCGAATAATCATAATGGATCATCTTAAAAAAGCTCCATTGAGATCAAGAAAGTCGATAGAAATCAAATCAAACCAAACAGGCCCATTATATCCTACACGGAGGTGGGTCGGGTATGAGATGTATATAGACCTGATATCTACCCAAAGAGAGAGTATATACCTGGAAGCTACCATCACCAATGCAAGCAATCACTCTTTTATCTGTCGCAGCCTGTGCATACCCAAGGGTAGCACCAACAGACCATCCAATCGACCCATATTGCATCTGGAATTCATACCTACAATGCCCATTTGGATAATCAAAATACGATGATAAAATGTAAACCAAACACAGTAAACCCCAAGTCAACGTAGGGTCTAGGGAGAGTTAGATGTAGTCGATGACCTTTCTTCTACCCCAAGAGGTAAAGAGGTTGTTTCCATTGACATGATAAAGAACATATGTAAACTTGATTGACACTCTCTTTGATGCTTACCCACATCCCTGTGGCAATTTTAGTTTCTGGCAATTGAACCAGGAATCTCCGGTTTCCGCGATCACAGCTGTATCACTGGACAACAACTTCTGTATGTGTTCAAACAGAACATTAACCCTCAATGGTTCTTTAGGAGCACATTGCAGAGGATGCCCATCAGGCACATAAATCCGATGGTAATTCTCATAGGCAGTGGTGTTCTTCTTAAGCCTCTTGGCTAATGCTTGCAAGAAATCCTTCATCATAATACAACCATAAGTGGGTCCATTTCCAACCACAACACGATCAGGTTGCACGATTAGCGCCTTCTCTTTCTTCAGAAGGAGAGAGTAACCTACAGAGCTGTAATCATTGAATATAGGTCCAGCAAATATGTAAGCATCCGCTGATTCAACAATTTCTGCACAGAATGCTGTGCTTACAGCACCCCAGTATGTCCCAATGAAGTGAGGATGGTGCTCGGGAACTAGCCCTTTTCCTGCAGGGGAGACGGCAAGAGCATATCCGGATGCATCTGCCAATTCGACAAACGCCTGGCATGCGTTTGCAACACGCAGTTTAGGTCCACCGACCATTACAGGCTTCACAGCCTTGTTCAAGAACTCTGCTGCAGCCTCAACAGCTGCTTCCAAACCCATGCGGTTACTCAACCTACACATAAAAAAAAATTCCCATAAACCCAAAATACAAACGAAATGCACCTATAGCATATAAATTCGTGTTTATAAATATGAAGGATATTTGTAGAACATACTTAGGGGGTAGAGAAAATGGAACTGGTTCCCGGCTAAAAGTAGGATGTGGAATTGCAGACAAATTACAGCCAATACTGATGTAAACAGGTTTGCTCTCTTTCAGAGCAGTCGAAATCGCAGTATCGATCTGTTCATGTGCATCTTCCAAGTTATTCACCACAGCCTGCGATAAAAATAGTAACAAGTTAAGCAAACAATTCTGCCTTTTCAGTTATCATTCCCATCGCTATAGATATGTTAAACTGTGGCCATCACCCATCAGTACAAACTCAGAGATCAATGCAATGTTAACTGTTTATGAACAAATTGCAACCTTAGGATATAGGAATCTCTCTAGTCTACTATTCCAGCAAAAGTTGAGTTTCTAATGGCAGTATGAAAATTAAATCCTTATGCTAAATAGTACTTGGTTGAAATCGATCTTCAACGAATCAATGACTGTCTATAGACATATGATTTATACTTGCGAACATTTATATTTAAATTATTATGAATCGCTAGTTCGATACTGCAACTCTACAAATCAGCAGCTATGACGATGGATCGATGATTATAAACGGTACATTTTACGCCTTATAAAATAGAAATGCGAAGTTATATACCTGATAACAAGTGACTGTCTGAAAACAACGAAGCTCTTGGCTGAAATCCGGCAATCCAATAGTATGATGAAGAATTCTGTTCGTACCGTAATCGTTCGAATTCGGTCCACCGACGATACAAACAACCGGAAGATTCTCACTGTAGGCACCGGCAATGGCGTTGAGTACACTAAGTCCACCAACGGTGAACGTCACAACGCATGCACCAACGCCACGAGACCTAGCGTATCCATCGGCCGCGTAGCCTGCATTCAGCTCGTTGCAACAGCCAATGAGATTGAGCCCGGGCTCAGCAATGAGGTGATCCAGCAAAGTTAAGTTGAAGTCACCGGGAACAGAAAACACGTCGGAGACACCGATCTGGACAAGCCGGCGAGCAAGGTGGCGACCGAGTGTGGCCTCGCTGGAGTTGAACGATACAGGGGAGGACTGTACACAAGAAGCAACAGCGGTTTTGGGAGGACAACATACATTGCCATTGGAAACAGGAACAACATCTAGAGCACCGATCTTGGTATCCATAGATTGATTGAGAGAGCTTGTAATTTAGATTTGAAAAGGAGTCAATTGATGATGGAAATGAGAAAAGGGAGAAAGAATATTTATAGTGCGACTCGTGGTGGAGTGTTTAAAGAATACAAGGGGCGGTTTTACGTGTTGTGTCGTTTGTAAAACGAGAAGCTGGTTTTATAAATTAACCAATTAAATTAATTTATTGGAAAGGTAAAAAAGTAACCAATCAAATTAATTTGTCTGAAATTTAGACAAATGACCGATCAAATTAACTTATTTTAAATGTGTAATATTGTAATTTAATTATTGTAGAAAGATACTTGCACAATACAGCTAGATAAATCTTTATTTTAATGTTTAGTTTTTATTATTTGTCTCTATTGATATAATACAATTTTATGTGGTTTTGAGAAAACGGTAATGTTTTTATTTTTGAATGAAATATAAATTTGAAGATAGCATAATTTTTTTTTTTAAATCGGTATTAGTATCAAATTAACTATTTAATAGTTTTCTTTTTTTGGTATAACCTTTTTAATTCAGTGTTTTATTATAATTTAATTTAGATTTAGTAATAATGTAATTTATTTTTGATTTAATGATATAATTTTTTTATAAAAATAATAATTAAACATTTTGTTAGAACTCAATGATTATTTTAATTATATTTTAGGTTTTCTATATCTAAAATGAATGTTTATCCTATATCTGATTATGTTTATCTGCAGTTAATTACATGAATTTAAAAATAGAGTTTTAATAAGTTGTACTTACGTAAAATTTCTTGTAATCTTGAATTTTAAGTAATATGCATCAATAAACAGTACTTAATGTATAAAAGATGATTTTTAAAAGTTTGTGTCAAATGCTTTATAATATGGTATAGATAAATGAATTTGGAGGGAAATCCATTATTGGTTATATGACTGTTTTTTAGTTTTTGTTCCTATAAATTATGATGTATGCTGATAGTCCATTGTTTTTTAATTGTGGTGGTGGTGGGTAGAGGACATCAGTGATAGTGGTTGTCGTTAATGTTCTTGAAAATGGAGGTGAGGGTAAAGAAGATGGTAAAAAGACCAAGATACCCTTCACATGCGGGGCACATGATACACTTAACGGAGTTGGGACTGACAAAGTTAATCAAAGTGATCACTTTGGGCTTCGGAAAATGAAAGATGGGCTATTATTAGAGTACTTTAGGAATTGTAGGGACGAAAACCGTAAAACAACCATAGATAAGGGACTAAATGTAATTCACTCATGAATTTATTTAACACACAAAAAGAATAACTCATTTTTATATCTTAAAATAATTAATTGATTTAAATATTTTACTAAATTTATATGAAATATAAAATGTATTTAATTTGACTGATGAAAAACTTCTCCAAATTTAGATATTTTTTAATTTTATTTGTTTTATTTTTTCTACTTTAAAAAGAAAAGTATAGAAAAATAAATTAAAAACTCAAAAATATTTATTTTTTTAATTTTAAAATACATGTCTCAAAACATTATTAAAACTCTCATAAAAATATATAATATGATAATTTTTATAAACTTTTTTTCTCAAATGTCAATCAGTTAATTTAATAACATCATATTTATTTTTATTTTTTATTAACAATTAATAGAAAATAATGATAAACCTAATTATAATTATTAATTTTATAAATTTATTATCATTAAAAAAGATATTTATTGAAATAAAAAATTTATTATTTTTAAAAATACATTTAACCCTCAATATTTGCATTCATCATGAAAAAGGGGTAGTAATCGTCTACTTTTTTATTTTTGTACGACCATTCATCGTTGAATGTGTGATACAAATTTAATTAAATAATTAAATCTGTATTTTTTATTGATGTGTCAGTAGGGGTGTATGCGGTTGTGTTGGACGGCTTACAATATTTTTATAACTCAACCTAATTATGACGGTTTGAAAAAATCTCAACCCAACCTAACTCATTCAAAAGTATAACTTAACTTAACCCTTGCGGGTAAGAGGCGGGTTGGGTTGGATTGGCGGGTTAGTAGTTACATAAAATTTGACAAATGAAATAATTCATAAAACTTAAATGTATAGACCCTACTATAAAGCGTTCTATTAAAAAAAATGTTACAATAGGTTTATAGGACGTTTTTGGACGTTTCAACAAGTGTTTTAAAATCGTCTTTAAATAAAATGTCGTATTAGTTATTTTTAAATCCAAAAATTGTGTTTGGTACCTGTTATGGTTATATCAAACTTTATGATGATATATGATGTATGTTTATGAAAAATATACCAAATATGTGCAATGTTTACGATAAAATATACTGATATCTACAATAAGTATATAAAATTTATCCAATTTATATAATTTTTTGTACAATTTCATATTTATCACAGTAACGTCGATAATTTGAAGGTGGTTTTGATTAACAATTGATTGTAACCCCCAAATTTTTTATTATAGCAAAGTCGATAATCACATTGAAGAGTCGTTACCCTCATTTATCGGGGTAAGACTCTTTCGGTGACGTTTGTTTTTTAAAATGAGTAAAGTCTGAAATCTTATTTCATTTCTGATTGATAAAAGGTGGTGTTGAAGTCTGAAATCTGAATCAATAAGATTGTTTATTTTTGTAACAGATAAATGTTAAATGCGTATTTTACCCATTAGAATATTATAGTGTTGAACTTATATATAAATTTATATAAATTCACATACTTATTCATCATCATCACAAAATTTACGTCTAAATTATAAATTTAGCATTTAATTAATACTAGGGGTGTACAAAAAGTCGTCAACTTGCGAAACTCGCCCAACACAACCTGTTAACAACCCAATTAAATTCAACCCGCCTAACCGTCCACCCGCCTAACTGCTAACCCGCAAATTAGGAGGGTTGAAACTGGGTTGGACCTAGCTCAACCCGTCCAATCCCCCAACCTGCCGCTAATATAATTTTTTTATAAAATTATATATATATATATATATATATATATTATGTATATATATATATATATATATTATGTATATATATATATATATATATTATGTATATATATATATATATATATTAATAACGTATAAGTTTATATAATTTTTATTGATATTATGTTTGTATTTCATTTTAGCTAAACATATAGGTTACTAAAAAAGATTCATGATCAAAGAATGATGACAAATAATCTAATTAATAAGAGAAAATTATTGAAAATTTTTTTGCACCAACATATTGTCCAATTTGGAAATGATCAAAGCTCAATTACATAATGACAAGTGTGAATCAGATAATTTACATTAGGATCTAAAAGATGTAAATGTTTTTGAGTGAAAGACTCGAAATAAGTGATATCACATCATGAAAGTCGTGAAATAGCCACAAAGAACCACAAAAGTGGTGTTCGATTGGTTTGAGCTTGAGATCCAAAGGTCAAAAGTGTTTGGAGGTCCCAAGCTCGAATCCAAGGAGCAATAAAAATCTCTTGTGGCCACAGATGTTCAAATGCGGTGATTCCAATGAGTGGTCGTCCTGGGATTAGTCAGCTTGTATAGCGGGTTGGATATTCAGGTTAATAAAAAAAAAGTAGCCACAAAGATGTCTGACAAAAGGTAATATATGAAATTTTAGGTCGTTTATGTGTTAACAATGAATTAAGTTCCTAACGATATCTTACTTAGATGCAAGAGAAATTACGGTATCAATGGTATGCCACTGATAAAATGATTTAAAAGTAAGCATTTCTTGAAGTTGAAATCATTAAGAGGTTAAAATTTATCTCCAAGGAAAGAATATTAAAGTAAAAGTTGAAATATCATAATTGATAAAGTGTATAATAATATGATTTGAAACTACCATAAGACAACTGACAACGATAAACAACAGATATATAAGTTATGTCGGTAAGGAAAAAAAGTCAGTAGAATATATACCTAGAAAAAGACAACTGGGAATGATAACATATCAACTAAATTTACCCATTGAACACCAAGGTATACAAAATGTGTTTTATGCATCCACCTTGACTAAGTGTCTTGTCAGAGACAGGCCTAGATATTTTCGGAACAAGGGTCGAATAATTACTGTAATGTATATAAATTTAAATTAAAATGTAACTATGGTTACAAAATACAGTATAAAACACTAAGGGTGCGTTTGGTTTGCGGGAATGGAATGGATTTGGGAGGATTTGGATTTCAAATCCATTCCAATCCCATGTTTGGTTTGCTAAGTCATCAGGATTTGAAATCGCGGGAAACCCTTAAAATCCCGTAAACAAGGGATTTGAAAATCCTTTGGAAAAAGGCTGGATTTAGAATCCGGGCAAACCATTTCTTCTTCGACGCTTCATGCCCTAACGCAATCCTCGCTTTCCCCACCTCCCCACTACTCTCGCCGGTTTCCCCTCCACCTCCCCACTGCCTTCGCCGCCGCCGGTGCTCTCCTCCTCTTCTCCTCTTCGTCCGCTTCCCCACTGCTTGCGCCGCTTCCCCACTGCTCTCGCCTTCTCTCGTCATTGCAATCGCCGGTGCTCTCTCCTCTTCTTCGCCTTCTCTCATCAATCAACAGGTAAGAACATATATCTGCCCTCGTTTGAAGATTAACATGTCTCCTTCCTAAATATGCATCCTATTTATTTTTCAATGTATGAACATATATCTGCCCTCGTTGTGTCTGTAGATTTGCATATGTTATTAGGTTTCAATCATCGTCTGTAGATTTGCATATGTTATTAGGTTTCAATCATCGTCTGTNTTGCATATGTTATTAGGTTTCAATCATCGTCTGTGGAGTTGCATATGTTATTAGGTTTCTATCATCGTCTGTAGATTTGCCTGACTGTGAAATGGATTTCAAATTCAATCAAAATCCTGCAAACCAAACATAGGAATGAATTTTAAATCCAATCCAATCCAAATCCCATGGAATCCAAATCCCTCCTAGGAATCCAAATCCCTCAGAAACATTCCTGCAAACCAAACGCACCCTAAGAAATCAAGCAAATTAGG